TTGTTTGCATTCCTGGTTGGCTTCTTCCCTCCGGAATCGAGCGGCAGGTTCTCCTCCCTGAGTTGTCAAGCCTTTCCCCCTCTTTCCCTCCAACACAATTACTTCTGTGAAATACAACAGAGGGAACCGGGTGATGTATTTCATAAGATCTACGGCACAGCATGAGAACCTCTCTAACCTAGATTTGTCTATTTGCTACTGAAAGGAAGCTTACTCTTTTGGAGTGTGTGTGTGTGTGGAAAGAGGGAGGAACATTTGCAAGAGGGTTGTTGTTGTTGTGAGTTTTCCGGGCTGTATGGCCATGTTCCAGAAGCATTCTCTTCTGACGTTTTGCCTGCATCTGTGGCAGGCATCCTCAGAGGTTGTGAGACCAGGAAATCTCACAACAACCCAGTGATTCTGGCCATGACGATACATTTGCAAGTGCAGAGAAGAATAAGGCCACTTCTACACAGCTGTATCAGATCCCACATTATCTGCTTTGAACTGGGATATAGCAGTGTGGACTCAGATAATCCAGTTCAAAGCAGATATTGTGGATTATCTGCCTTGGTATAGTAGGGCTGTATGGAAGGGGCCCTGAGAGAGTCAGAACAGCCACTGAGTCAGAGCTTTCCTGCAAGTCCCAACCTTTGCAAGCTTGAGGACTGCAAAGCTGCATTATTTTTTGGTTAATTTTCCATTTTAAAATATTTTTTAATATTATTTTAATATTATTCTTAAAAAATACAAAAAATATTCTAAAAATTCGTTAATATTTACAAAATTTTGTAAATATCAAAACTTTTTTTTGGAAAGTTTTGTAATTATTTTAAATATCGAAACAAAAAAACACCCCAATTACAAATCGATTTTAGAAACAAATTTTTTCTTGATCAAACAGGCCTACTTTCTGCACTGACCATATTTTTAGAAGTCTCCTATCTGATGAGTCTCTGGCAACTGTCATCCATGCCACGGTCACATCTAGGCTGGACTATTGCAACGCCCTGTATGTGGGCCTTCCAATATCTACGACCCGAAAGCTTCGTATTGTTCAGAATGCGGCAGCCAGGCTACTCACAAGAATGCCCATGAAATGCCATATAACACCAGTGTTGCGGCATTTGCACTGGCTTCCAACTGATTACCGTGGTCTATAAAAGATGCTAGTTCTGACCTTTAAAACTCTTTGCGGCCAGGGTCCATCGTACCTTAGGGACCGTCTCTCCTTCTCCCATCGTCGGAGGTCGCAACGACCATCCTAACGTGACTTACTCTATGTACTGGGTCCTAGAGAAGTGCACTTGGAAAGGACCAGGCGCAGATGGGCTTTTTCTATTTCTGCCCCTCCTGCCTTGTGGGATTCCTTGCCGCTCTATATGAGAGCCATACATGAGTTGGGGCCTTTTACCCTAGCACTTAAGACCTGGCTTTTTACTAGAACATTTGATCCCTGTTAATTTTTAATTTTTGTATGTATGTATTTTATCTTTTACAATTTAGCTGTAAATTGCCTAGAGCATCTTGGATGGAGGGCGATTAATAAGTAATTAAATGATGATGATACAGACAATCGTGGGCCACTCTCCCGTTTGCAGGGCTTGCTCTTTGTTGAGCAATTGTTAAAGTACCTCTCAGCAGGCAAAAGCTCTTCTCAGTAGGACCGCTCTTTCTCCCTTCTTCTCCGGCATTGGCTACAGCACTAAGTTCTTATTGTTCAATGAGGTATTTCTGTGCTCTGCTCCTGATAAGATTTTCCTCTCATTTCTCTGGCAGGTAACCTCTGAATGAACCTTGTGAAGATCCCTTTGTCTTAGGTCAGAAATGAAATTACACAGCACTCACAAGAAATAAGTTGGAGAAATTATATTTCAAGCTCCATAAGTGTGTATTCAAGGAGGAAAGGGAGGATTGTGCTGTGAAAAGTGGGGCTTGGTAAATTATTTACTCAAATGGAGTAGAGCAATACTGAGACTGAGAAGAGGAAATCAGGAGAACATATCTGTGACCTTCTGGCATAATATGTGAATCATAAATGTAAAAGAATGGAAAATCTCAATTCCTTGTCAAAATCATGCACAGGGGAGAAGAGACATAATTGTATGGAATGTGGGAAATGTTTCACTGCGAGAAGTTCTCTTACTACACATCAACGAATTCACACAGGAGAGAAGCCATACAAATGCATGGAATGTGGAAAGAGCTTCATTCAGAGTGGGCATCTGCGTTCCCATCAAAGGACCCACACAGGAGAGAAGCCGCATAAATGCATGGAATGTGGAAAGAGCTTCAGTCACAGTGGAGATCTGCGTATCCATCAAAGAACCCACA